AGAGGGAGGGAGGGAGGGAGGGAGGGAGGGAGGGAGAGAGAGAGAGAGAGAGAGAGAGAGAGAGAGAGAGAGAGAGAGAGAGAGAGAGAGAGAGAGAGAGAAAGAGAGAGAGAGAGAGAGTGAGAGAGAGAGAGAGAGAGGGAGGAAGAAGAAGAAGGAAGATCAGATAAATCCTCAAGAGGCTACAAGAGCCCCCACAGAGGCGGGCTGATCACAAAAACCACCAAGAAAGTACGAAGAAATACACAAAGAACATATGCCTTTATTGACACATGCCGACAAAAAATGCACGTCTTTCTCACACTAGGCCCTGACCTACAAGAAGACGTGCATACGCCAACTAAATAAAGACACGCGTCAAAGCCTTTAACACAGTGGATCTATCTATACCAAGGAGCCCAATGACTCTGAAAGGCTACTAATAAATTCTTCATGCCCTCGGCCCACACAGAAAGTTTGATATCACAATACACTCCACAGTCCTCGAGAAATAGACATTATGCCCATGCACTCGGCTCCAGGACCAGAGTTCTTGATTTTAAAGCCCAAAACAGCACTCAAACAGTGCATGATGTACGGGAAGAGCCTGGAGACTCGTGACACCGTGTAGTACCTATAACGTGTCCAGTGTTACCAAGGAGGTGCTGAAACACTGTCAATGGTGCACTCTTCAGTAACACACGCACTTATTTCTTGTCTAGGGGAACAGGGGAACTTTTAAGTCAAAATCACTATCAGATTAGTGTTTTGCGTAACAGGAGCTAGTTATATATATATATCTTATGTGACATGAACTTGAAACCTTCCATATACTGCAGGTATGTTGACGACAATTTTTTGCAGTTACCAGATGTCAGACGTCTGCAGCAGTTGAGGTATTCGAGCAGAATTCAGTATCAAGTTTCACTTACGAAATGCCCCCACGCATCTCGTCAACAGGGCTCCTTTATGGAGCCCTGTTGTTTGTGCATTGTTAATCGCCTAGAAAGAGATGCTGTTGTCTTGCCTATATACTGAGATCTTTGGGGCTGACAGTGCCCAAGTGGGCATGTGAAGGCATAGACGACGTTGGTTGCCTTTCCTTGGTGGTAGTGAGAGATATGGCAGGAAGTGCAGAAGTCCAATAAAGAGTCTGGGTGCCACAAGCACCATTGGACACTGAGACAAACAGCCTCACACACCAAACAGTCACCACGGACAACTAGCTACAGGGCAACTCTCGAAATGGTCGACAGGTAATCATCTTCAACAGGAAATCATCGCTAACAGGTAATCATCGCTAACAGGTAATCATCTTCAACAGGTAATCATCAATATGAAATCATAGTCAACAGGTAAGTCAACAAGCATGAGGAGAGAGATTGATTAACAGGAACAATTACAATGAGAATGATGAGTGAGAAATTACAATGAGTGGAAACGTTGTTACGAAACATAAGACGAAGTGATTAGTGATGAGGAATATGGAGTGGGAATAATGAGTCAGGGTATTTCAGGAGTAGGAATGATGAGTGAGGAAGCATGAGTAGTGAGAATGATGAGTGAGGAAGCATGAGGAGTGAGAATGATGAGTGAGGAAGCATGAGGAGTGAGAATGATGAGTGAGGAAGCATGAGGAGTGAGAATGATGAGTAAGGAACCATGATGAGTGAGAAGCATGAGGAGTGAGAATGATGAGTGAGGAAGCATGAGGAGTGAGAATGATGAGTGAGGAAGCATGAGGAGTGAGAATGATGAGTGAGGAAGCATGAGGAGTGCGAATGATGAGTGAGGAAGCATGAGGAGTGAGAATGATGAGTGAGAAAGCATGAGGAGTGAGAATGATGAGTGAGAAAGCATGAGGAGTGAGAATGATGAGTGAGGAAGCATGAGGAGTCAGAATGATGAGTGAGGAAGCATGAGGAGTGAGAATGATGAGTGAGGAAGCATGAGGAGTGAGAATGATGAGTGAGGAAGCATGAGGAGTGAGGAAGCATGAGGAGTGAGAATGATGAGTGAGGAAGCATGAGGAGTGAGAATGATGAGTGAGGAAGCATGAGGAGTGAGAATGATGAGTGAGGAAGCATGAGGAGTGAGAATGATGAGTGAGGAAGCATGAGGAGTGAGAATGATGAGTGAGGAACCATGATGAGTGAGGAAGCATGAGGAGTGAGAATGATGAGTGAGGAAGCATGAGGAGTGGGAATGATGAGTGAGGAACCATGATGAGTGAGGAACCATGATGAGTGAGGAAGCATGAGGAGTGAGGAAGCATGATGAGTGAGGAAGCATGAGGAGTGAGAATGATGAGTGAGGAAGCATGAGGAGTGAGAATGATGAGTGAGGAAGCATGAGGAGTGAGAATGATGAGTGAGGAAGCATGAGGAGTGAGAATGATGAGTGAGGAAGCATGAGGAGTGAGAATGGTGAGTGAGGAAGCATGAGGAGTGAGAATGATGAGTGAGGAAGCATGAGTGAGAATGATGAGTGAGGAAGCATGAGTGAGAATGATGAGTGAGGAAGCATGAGGAGTGAGAATGATGAGTGAGGAAGCATGAGGAGAGAGAATGATGAGTGAGGAAGCATGAGAAGTGAGAATGATGAGTGAGGAAGCATGATGAGTGAGAATGATGAGTGAGGAAGCATGAGTGAGAATGATGAGTGAGGAAGCATGAGGAGTGAGAATGATGAGTGAGGAACCATGATGAGTGAGGAAGCATGAGGAGTGAGAATGATGAGTGAGGAAGCATGAGGAGTGAGAATGATGAGTGAGGAAGCATGAGGAGTGAGAATGATGAGTGAGGAACCATGATGCGTGAGGAAGCATGAGGAGTGAGAATGATGAGTGAGGAAGCATGAGGAGTGGGAATGACGAGTGAGGAACCATGATGAGTGAGGAACCATGATGAGTGAGGAAGCATGAGGAGTGAGAATGATGAGCGAGGAAGCATGAGGAGTGAGAATGATGAGTGAGGAAGCATGAGGAGTGAGAATGATGAGTGAGGAAGCATGAGGAGTGAGAATGATGAGTGAGGAAGCATGAGGAGTGAGAATGATGAGTGAGGAAGCATGAGGAGTGAGAATGATGAGTGAGGAAGCATGAGGAGTGAGAATGATGAGTGAGGAAGCATGAGAAGTGAGAATGATGAGTGAGGAAGCATGAGGAGTGAGAATGATGAGTGAGGAAGCATGAGGAGTGAGGAAGCATGAGGAGTGAGGAAGCATGAGGAGTGAGGAAGCATGAGGAGTGAGGAAGCATGAGGAGTGAGATTGAGGAGCGAGGAAGCATGATGAGTGAGAATGATGAGTGAGGAAGCATGAGGAGAAAGAATGAGGAGTGAGGAAGCATGAGGAGTGAGAAAGAGGCAGCGGACGTCAGCTAACCAAGGGGGGGGGGGGAGTCATGCTATAGTTCAATAAACATAACTTATTCACAAACCTGCCTCTCCTGGCTGCCCCAAGTGTGGGCGTGGTGTATGGTGGGCGTGGTGTATGGAGGGCGTGGTGTATGGTGGGCGTGGTGTATGGTGAGCGTGGTGTATGGTGGGCGTGCTGTATGGTGGGCGTGGTGTATGGTGGGCGTGGTGTATGGTGGGCGTGGTGTATGGCGGGCGTGGTGTATGTTATGGCCGCTAAGTTATACATTTCGACTATTTTCAATCAAATTATGTATTAAACCCGGGCACTGTATGACCTTGGTAAAGTGTAGACTAGCAATAACAGTTGCTCTGAGAACGACCTTATGAGAGGACGGAAAAGCAAGACAAGGCGGGCTCTAATACGACCTAAGGAGAGGCAGGGCAAGCACGACTAGCGGCTCGCACCACAACTCAGCCAAACAATGTATGGGGGCTCTCAGTACGACCTTTTGAGAGCCAGGACCAGAAGACAAGATGCTCTCAGTACGACCTTGGACTAAGGCGGCCAAACAATATATGGGGGCTCTCAGTACGACCTTCAGAGAGCCAGGACCAGAAGACAAGATGCTCTACGTACGACCTTGGACTAAGGCGGACAAACAATGTATGGGGGCTCTCAGTACGACCTTCAGAGAGCCAGGACCAGAAGACAAGATGCTCTACGTACGACCTTGGACTAAGGCGGACAAACAATGTATGGGGGCTCTCAGTACGACCTTCAGAGAGCCAGGACCAGAAGACAAGATGCTCTACGTACGACCTTGGACTAAGGCGGACAAACAATGTATGGGGGCTCTCAGTACGACCTTCAGAGAGCCAAGACCAGAAGACAAGATGCTCTCAGTACGACCTTGGACTAAGGCGGCCAAACAATATATGGGGGCTCTCAGTACGACCTTCAGAGAGCCAGGACCAGAAGACAAGATGCTCTACGTACGACCTTGGACTAAGGCGGACAAAACAATGTATGGGGGCTCTCAGTACGACCTTCAGAGAGCCAGGACCAGAAGACAAGATGCTCTACGTACGACCTTGGACTAAGGCGGACAAACAATGTATGGGGGCTCTCAGTACGACCTTCAGAGAGCCAGGACCAGAAGACAAGATGCTCTACGTACGACCTTGGACTAAGGCGGACAAACAATGTATGGGGGCTCTCAGTACGACCTTCAGAGAGCCAGGACCAGAAGACAAGACTCTCTCAGTACGACCTTGGACTAAGGCGGACAAACAAGACAAAGGGGCCACCCAGTACGACCTTGGGAGAGGGTGGAGAGGCACGACAAGGGGGCCCCCCTATGCGATAACAGATCGATGAGGTGTCAGTATGGGTTGACACAGCACTCAACTCCCACTCCAAACACGATACACCTAATGGGCTTAACATGAGAGGTACACTCACCACTACCCCTTCAACACCTCAACCTACGACACCTCACCACAACACTGCACCCCACGACGGTCTTACTGTAGAGTATTACTCTAGAGTATACCCTCAGAGTACTCCTTGAGAGTGTACCTCACCGGATGGCTCATCTGATCGCAGGACGAACGACGCTATTATTTTATTTTTATATTTTAAACCTCAGTTTGTGGTATTTGTTATTCCCAGGAGGATAGTGAGCGTTTAGTGTACTTGACCGTCTCTTGCGTTGACCGTCTCTTGTGTTGACCGTCTCTTGTGTTGACCGTCTCTTGTGTTGACCGTCTCTTGTGTTGACCGTCTCTTGTGTTGACCGTCTCTTGTGTTGACCGTCTCGTGTGTTGACCGTCTCGTGTGTTGACCGTCTCGTGTGTTGACCGTCTCGTGTGTTGACCGTCTCGTGTGTTGACCGTCTCGTGTGCTGACCGTCTCGTGTGCTGACCGTCTCGTGTGTTGACCGTCTCGTGTGTTGACCGTCTCGTGTGTTGACTGTCTCGTGTGTTGACCGTCTCTTGTGTTGACCGTCTCTTGTGTTGACCGTCTCTTGTGTTGACCGTCTCTTGCTTTGACCGTCTCTTGCGTTGACCGTCTCTTGTGTTGACCGTCTCTTGTGTTGACCGTCTCTTGTGTTGACCGTCTCGTGTGTTGACCGTCTCTTGCGTTGACCGTCTCTTGTGTTGACCGTCTCGTGTGTTGACTGTCTCGTGTGTTGACCGTCTCTTGTGTTGACCGTCTCTTGCGTTGACCGTCTCTTGTGTTGACCGTCTCTTGTGTTGACCGTCTCTTGTGTTGACTGTTTCACGTGTTGACTGTCTCTTGTGTTGACCGTCTCTTGTGTTGACTGTTTCACGTGTTGACCGTTTCTTGTATTGACTGCTTGCTGCAGTTTTGTCTCGTTGAATGAAACATGTTATTAAATTTTGTTAAATAATTCACTAGTACTTCCTGCCCACGTTATATATAACTTCGTGTCTGTACGATATCTAGTTCTATTTTTGATTTTCAACAAATAATCTCTGGAACATGTGAGTGTAAGGGACAGCTCACCGGGTGACTGATGGATGTTGTCACGTCTCTCTTCTTCTTGCAAGGTTTCGATGGTAAATGTGTGTGTGTATATATATATATATATATATATATATATATATATATATATATGTCGTACCTAGTAGCCAGAACGCACATCTCAGCCTACTATGCAAGGCCTGATTTGCCTAATAAGCCAAGTTTTCATGAAATATGTTTTTTCGACTACCTAACCTACCTAACCTAACTTTTTCGGCTACCTAACCTAACCTAACCTATAAGATAGGTTAGGTTAGGTTAGGTAGGGTTGGTTAGGTTCGGTCATATATCTACGTTAATTTTAACTCCAATAAAAAAAATTGACTCATACATAATGAAATGGGTAGCTTTATCATTTCATAAGAAAAAATTAGAGAATCAAAATATATTAATTCAGGAAAACTAGGCTTATTAGGCAAATCGGGCCTTGCATAGTAGGCAGAGACGTGCGTTCTGGCTACTAGGAACGATATATATATATATATATATATATATATATATATATATATATATATATATATATATATATATATATATATATATATTTATATATATATAAAACGGCCAACCTACTCATGAAAACTTTCCAGACACAAAGCAGAATGCCATAAAGGAGACAACGTTGTCTATTGCCTTCAAATGCCCACTAGGGACTGTAAGCCCCAAAGAACTCAGTATATAGGCAAGACAACAACTTCTCTTTCCAGGCAATTGACGATGCATAAGCAACAGGGCTCCATTAAGGAACATATAATCTCTTCCCACAACCAGACCATCACCAGAAAAGTCTTAACAAACAAAGAAATCATCGATAGGTACAAAGCGATTGAAGGCGGCTTGACATCAGTGAGGCTCTACACACATCAAAAAGTCAACACCAGCAATCAACAGATATATATATATATATATATATATATACTATATATATATATATATATATATATATATATATATATATATATATATATATATATATATATTAGTATATTTTGGTAGTCTTTCCTATAGACATATATTATTAAATATGACCGAAAAAGTAAGATTAATAATTCTAACACGAATTTTCTCAATCTTTCGTACATTACGCTTCACTGTTGGAGGTAAATCAAAAATCACTTCTCCAAAATTCATTTTTATTTCTAGTCTGACGCGACACGGGCGCGTTTCGTAAACTTATTACATTTTCAAAGACTTCACAAATACACAACTGATTAGAACGTATCTCTGATTTTATATCTACATTTGAGTGAGGTGGGAGGGGTGATGTGGCATTAACACAAGACAGAACAGGAGGGGATATTAATAGGGTATTAAAAGTATCAACACAAGACAGAACAGAAACAATGGGTATTGAATAGAAGTGTTTGTAGAAAGCCTATTGGTCCATATTTCTTGATGCTTCTATATTGGAGCGGAGTCTTGAGGTGGGTAGAATATAGTTGTGCAATAATTGGCTGTTGATTGCTGGTGTTGACTTCTTGATGTGTAGTGCCTCGCAAACGTCAAGCCGCCTGCTATCGCTGTATCTATCGATGATTTCTGTGTTGTTTACTAGGATTTCTCTGGCGATGGTTTGGTTATGGGAAGAGATTATATGTTCCTTAATGGAGCCCTGTTGCTTATGCATCGTTAAACGCCTAGAAAGAGATGTTGTTGTCTTGCCTATATACTGGGTTTTTTGGAGCTTACAGTCCCCAAGTGGGCATTTGAAGGCATAGACGACATTAGTCTCTTTTAAAGCGTTCTGTTTTGTGTCTGGAGAGTTTCTCATGAGTAGGCTGGCCGTTTTTTCTGGTTTTATAGTAAATCGTCAGTTGTATCCTCTGATTTTTGTCTGTAGGGATAACGTTTCTATTAACAATATCTTTCAGGACCCTTTCCTCCGTTTTATGAGCTGTGGAAAAGAAGTTCCTGTAAAATAGTCTAATAGGGGTATAGGTGTTGTGTTAGTTGTCTCTTCAGAGGTTGCATGGCTTTTCACTTTCCTTCTTATGATGTCTTCGATGAAACCATTGGAGAAGCCGTTATTGACTAGGACCTGCCTTACCCTACAGAGTTCTTCGTCGACTTGCTTCCATTCTGAGCTGTGGCTGAGAGCACGGTCGACGTACGTCGACCGTGCTCTCAGCCACAGCTCAGAATGGAAGCAAGTCGACGAAGAACTCTGTAGGGTAAGGCAGGTCCTAGTCAATAACGGCTTCTCCAATGGTTTCATCGAAGACATCATAAGAAGGAAAGTGAAAAGCCATGCAACCTCTGAAGAGACAACTAACACAACACCTATACCCCCTATTAGACTATTTTACAGGAACTTCTTTTCCACAGCTCATAAAACGGAGGAAAGGGTCCTGAAAGATATTGTTAATAGAAACGTTATCCCTACAGACAAAAATCAGAGGATACAACTGACGATTTACTATAAAACCAGAAAAACGGCCAGCCTACTCATGAGAAACTCTCCAGACACAAAACAGAACGCTTTAAAAGAGACTAATGTCGTCTATGCCTTCAAATGCCCACTTGGGGACTGTAAGCTCCAAAAAACCCAGTATATAGGCAAGACAACAACATCTCTTTCTAGGCGTTTAACGATGCATAAGCAACAGGGCTCCATTAAGGAACATATAATCTCTTCCCATAACCAAACCATCGCCAGAGAAATCCTAGTAAACAACACAGAAATCATCGATAGATACAGCGATAGCAGGCGGCTTGACGTTTGCGAGGCACTACACATCAAG